CATCACCTTGCGATCCGTCACACATGGCTATTGATTTGACGTGGGAGTGTGAAATAGGTGACGAGTCTGCCCATCAACTCATGTCTGACCCTAATTTATCCTAATGAAAAAAGGGTAAAGGGAAGACAAAAGTGCATAGTAGCTGTCAATATTGAGGTCATTGTGAACCATCTGCGAACGTTTACACATATTTGATCAGAAACATCCTTAGCCATGCAGGGAAGTATACCGGAAGCTACCATGTATAATCAGTATTGGCATGCCTGAATCAAATCTTAATTTCCTGATATGATCTATTGTGCTCTTGATATTTTTCAAAACATTTAGTTTTTGTACTTGAGTATAAATCATAAATGCTGAAGTGGTGAGAGTAAATATGACGTGTGTTTAATGGTTCAGTGTGAACTTTACTTCCAGAGATGCATTGGGGTGGGTTCGGGGTTTGTGTTCATGCTAGTTGTTGCTTTTCTTGCTTCTTTGCATTTACTAAATTACGGATTTCCCCTTCTTAAAAGAGTAGTAAAAAGATGTAAGATTGTAAATTGTGTACCCTTTTTCCTGTTCAATATATGATTGGCTACGCTTAAGATTTTATACTTCTGCAGGCTACAGGCTTCAAAGATGTATCATCAGATTCGGCCACCAAAAGACTTGTAGGGGAAGCACTAGCTGATCCTGTGGAAGCTGAAACCTCCGGATTAACACCAAGAGCTAATGTGGTTGCTGGAAAATCTGCCGAGTATGCTACGCCAAATAGTTCCACTTCAAATCCTACTGCATCTGTGCAGGAACCTCCTAGTTCGAGACCTTTAATTTGTCCACTGGCCCCTGTAGGGGCACGGGCACCGTTTTTGATCAATAGGTTCAAACTGGACAATCGCCCTACCGCATTCAAAGTTGTTTTGCCCTTACCTGATGGCCTTGCGAATGTAATTTCTCTGTCATTCTTGTCATATACTTTTCTTAATTTTTTCTCTTGGTTGATGAATAGGAGAGGTCAACAAACGAGAGTTTGCACACCAAGAATTCGTGACAGGCATGTGTGTGAGATGTCGTGAACAAATATGCAAATTTTTTATTGCTATTTTACCTCTAGTTGACTCCCGCAGTTTCATACATATTAAATGACTACACACGCATTGCATTCTTGCAAGCGTGTCAGTGATCTCTGTGGTTGACTTGTACCATTTGTTCTTCTTGTTGTGGGATGAGAGGGGGAGTAACTCTAGTTTCTGTTATTTTTTTTTTTTGATTGGAGTTGCACATATTTTATCACTTTAAGCTGAGCATGGGGTCATTGCCTCATTGGCTTATGCCTTGGTCTTTTCAAGTGCGTTCTTGGTTTTCTTCTTTACATGATAAATGGGTCAAAAAATGGCTGTCTCTTTATTAGGTTGCTGCTTTAGAGGAACACTTCTCTAGTTATGGGGATCTTTCCTCTGTGGAACTGGAAGAGTCTGAGCCTCAAGAAACTAGTAATGCTTCGCTGCGATCAAATGCTGGAGCTCGTGTCTCTTTTACGACACGGCATTCTGCTGAGAAGGCATTCTTGAATGGGAAATGCTGGCAAGGCCACAATTTGCGGTTTATGTGGATTACTTCTAGTAATTCTAGCAAAAACATTGGTGGTGCCGGAAATTCTTCAACTCTTCCTGATACGCATTCAGATGCTAATTTTCAATCTGGTGGAGAAGCTGTTACGTCAAGTAATTCTAGCAAAAACATTGGTGGCTCTGGAAATTCTGCAGCTTCTTCTGATAGTCCTTCGGGCGCTAATATTCAGTCTAGTGGAGAAGCTACATCTGCTCATGATAAAACTTCTTCCTTAGGCAGTGTTGAATATGAAAATCCAACAAAAGAAAGTGATTTAGATTTTGTAAATCAGGGCAAAGATTCCAAGTTGAGCTTAACCACAGTTTCAGGCAAAGAACAGTCAACTTGAAGAAGTTCCTGTTCTTGAAGCTGAATCAGGTTGTACAGTGAGGTAAAGTTCATCTCAAATTAAACCCAATTTCATGTCATTCAGCTGTAGCTAAAATCTGGCATCAGTTTTGTGTTTTTATTTTCAGGACATGCAGATAGGAATTCTACAACTGTCAGCCATTGGCACCTGTAACAGATCATGTTATTTCGAGGTATTTCTAGGAATGAATTTTCATTTGAGCTATATCCCTTGAACATTTTGATTCTCTGTGGTTTTGGTATATTGACACTATTTGATATTTACATTATGTCGCTCCCTAAATTAGAAGCTGATAGAGATGAGAAAAGTTGGTCACCGGTAATTTTATTTTGTTTCCTTGTTGCATGTAGGTTAGGTTCATTTGGGATGATTTTCAAACAAATTCGTTGAGTTCATAAATACTTTAAGGTGTTTTTCAATGAGTGGGCATTGCATTGCATTTCTGTTTTATTGTAGGCATGGATCTTTACTCGTTTATTCAAAAATGTGACAGGAAAGTACATTTAACTCCTACAGAAGCTAATTTCTGTTTTTTACTGGGACTATCAAGAAATCTAGAGCCCTTCCTTCCCTTGTAATCAAATTCAAAATCATCTTAACCGAAGTAAATGGTCTTATTGAAGAGAATAATTCCATGCAAATTGGATTTTGGACAGAAGAATAGGCTTCCCAGGCTGAGAAAGTTGGTCACTTGTACGGATTATAAAGAATGAACTTATGAAAGTTTTCCAGAATTCCTCAGCCATGAATCTTAGTTGATGATTCATGTTAGAAGTACAGAACATCTTGTTTTATTTTAGGAGTGATTAAAAGTACCCAGTTCTTTATAAATTTTATCTGGTTTTGATCAGTTCCAATCTGATTCGAATTGAATTTCGCCTTCCATCTCTTCTATCCAGCTTTGCTGCTCTGGATTCTGAATAAGATCTATATTTTTATATACACAGTGGTTGGTGCAATTTATCTATTTATTTTTTATATTGTCAGAGTTGAATTTCGTCTTTTAATGCAAAGATTTCACTTAAAAGAAATTTTAGTTTTAACCGTTAAAAAAAATTGTCATAAAAACGTTGGAAAAAACCGTTAATGACTTGCTTATTTTTTGGATGGAGTTTTATTCGACTCTGTTCAATTTTAAGTGTTATGGTGAAATTCAAACTAATATATTTATTTAAACGATATTACTTTTAAGCTAAAACGGTACTTTGAACCAAATTAACTGCATACATAATTTGATTTGGTTATCAATTTATAAATTATTCTATAGATTTCTTCAAAATAAAATATTAATTTCAACATCATATTCATAACTTGAACCCACTGTTCTTCCTTTTATCAATAATTCTAGTGTGGTATGGTATTTGCATTTGATTACCATAGAAGAGCTTTGAAAAGGACATAGAGAAATTAAATTTTAAAAGAGCTTTTATAATTAAAAGTGCTTTTAGTGGAAGTAAAATTGTATCAATATACTATAAAAGTTCTTCGAACTAGAAAAATATTTTCATAAAATTAGTCAAATAAATCCAAAAGCAGCTTCTGAAATTTGAATTTTTTTTTTTTTTTGAGTTTTCAAAAATCATGTCAAATGAACATTTTGTGACATCTGTTAAATGGTGTTACGAATCACATTTTTTTCACAACTATCACCTCCCCCAACACCAACCCAAGTACTCCAAAGTAATAATTCGAGTGGATGCTGCTCTGGTTACTAATGGAGAAATCTCCTACATCAAACCCTCCACCTATCGTTGTTCCACCATCTAAATAATAGCCACCTTGATCACATTATCCCTCTTCCCTCCATCCTCAAAATCACCTTCGAAGTTGTCGATGGACAACCTAGCTCCGCTCCTGGTATGTAATTACACGTTTTCAGTGCCATTTGTGTAAGTGATGATGGCTGGATGAAGGTGGAGAGGGGTTGGGGTGTGAACCTAGAAAAATGAGGGAACATTTGATTAAATGATAATGTGGGATTGTGTGAAGATAAAATGAGTTGTAGTATATATCTAGCTAGCCTTGTTTGGCAAATCAAATTTTTAGTATATTTTGATAAAAGTTGATGAGATATGTGATTGAAAAGTTGTAAATCCAATGAAATGTGTGGTTAAAATTAATTGTTGATTTTGACTTGAGATTTTAATCCAATTGAAAGAATAAATTTAAACTCTGGTTTTTATAATGAAAAGTTAAAATAAAAATGTCTAATTTCCTCAATTGTGGGACTTAAGTTGGTCAATGGATAATGTGGGCCCAAGACAATACTGAGTCCAAGAAATTGAATTTAGCCACTATTTGGTTTCATAAAAATAAAATATTTAATAAATTTTGATAATATGTAAATAAAAAAAAATTGTGAAGAAATTAATATTTAAAATTAAGTATTGACTTAGGCTTAAATTTTAACATACATTTTATGCTAAACCAAACAGAGGCTTAGATAATAGAAAATTGTATATGCAATCCTCAATATACGACATTTTTTAGTGCTTATATTTATCAATTTTTTTCCTAAGCTTAACCTTCCATATTTCAAGTGACATCTAGAGATGGCGAACTGCGCCGGAGATTTCGATTTCCGGGCGATGATATCACCTTACCTGAGTTTGTTTCTGAGTTTCTTTTGCAAATCTAATCACTCAGACGATGCAATCCCTGTTTGGGGTGCGAGAAAAATGATGTTTTGAATAATGAATTTTTTAGATATTGTTTGATTATTGTGTGAGTACATGGTTGAAAATAATTATGAAAATTAAAAAAAAAAAATTTATTTTAAAGGGAGACAAACAAGGGATAAAATTAAAATTTTAATCTAAATCAAAATCAACTTTCAATTTTAGCCACAAATTTCTGAGACAGCGACTGTTCAATCATCAATTAATCAATTTTTATCAATTAATCAATTCATCATTTTTTATCAAAATTTATTCAAAATCTGATTTTAATTCCCACTAAACAAGGAGTAATTATTAAGATTGAAAAACATGAAGTAATTGCACAAATGATAAAAGATCACATTTTGCAAATGTTTCTCCTTTACATTCCACAGAAAGCAAGCAACAGATTAAACACACATACACACACTCAAAACAAGAAACTTAGAAAAAACAGCAACAAGCATTTATTCGAGCCATGGAAGCTGGATCTTAATTATGTACCATCATCCATCTTCAAGTTCTACCACCGCTACTTTCTTTGCTTTCCTGTGCTTTCTGCTGAATCGTCTGCCCACTCTCCTTCGTTTTCTGCCCCACGTGCGCGACCGCATCTGCCATCTGCTTCTTCGCGTAATCCACCTGCTCCAGCATGGTCCCAGTAACCTGCCTTAACGAATTCACAACCCAAGAAAGCGACGACAGCCCGGTTAGACCAAAGGCACCAGAAGTAAGGAAAGCAGTGACAGCAAGGCCAACGAGAATGGCGGCCGGAACAAGAACCGGGCTGAAGATGATGAAAAGAGGGGTGGTGACGGCAAGGCCAATAAGGCTTCCGAAGAGGGTCAGTCCGGCAAGTGCCAGTAGGGTTCCACCGACAGGGAGGAGAGTGACGACTGCCAAAACTTGGCTAGTTGATGGACCCTTTTGTGGGAACTTCATCCCGCCGCCTTGATCGAAGCGTGACTGAGTGTGAACTTGGACTTGGTGGGGCTGTGGACGATCACGATCCGCCATGGAAATGGTAGTGGAGTGAAGAAATTGACTGTGTGGTGTGTGCGAGAGAGGAAGAAGAGAGAAAGAGGGGATTGATTGAAGAGAGATTTGATGATGAGGTGGAGTTTTAAAAGAGAAATCAAAGTGCAACGTGTTGGGGTGCATGTGTGGATACATAGTTAGGGCGTTTGCATGAGGTACAAGTTGCATTATGTGTTGCCACATTTCTCTCTCTTTTCTTTTCTTTCTTTTTTTTCAGTGGGCTTTCTCTTCTTTTTTTTTTTCATTCATTATGTGAAGAAACCGAGATCTATTGATTTCATGTGATCAGTGTTATAAAATTCGGATCGAACCGATGAGTTCTGTCAGAAAATCATTGAATTAGACCCATTTAAAATCTGTTGAACCCACTGTATTATTTGGGTTAGTGTTCAAGTCCGATTTGACAACTATGAATGTGATACTACATAGAATTAATCTTGTAACCCAGACTGAATGACACCCTGTTGACAGGGTTTCAAAATTTCCTACGTGTGTGGGTTAGTAATTGGAGGGAAAAGATAACACGTGAGAGATAGTGAGAAATACACGTGAGAATATGGTAGGGAGTGTGGGTTCCTTTGCCACTTACGAAAAGCAGAAAAACGGGAGAAGTGTTCCATAAAATTAATCTTGAAATTTATCTTTTGTTTGAATCCGATTTGAGCCAAGGATTTTTTTTCCAGTAGCTGAGAATTGGGAAAATAATGCAGCTGTGTTCCATAAAATTTTCCAGAAATTAGTCATGTTAGAATCCGATTTGGGGCAAGATTATTTGGCAGCTACTGGTCTAGCGAAGAGAAGAAAAAACCCGTTAATTAGTAAGCTATTTTTTTCCTGACTGAGATTCTAATGTTTGTTTGTAAGGATATTTATATCCTTTTGCTTTTCTCCTTGCTGCCAGGTGCTTTGATAAAAAATCTCCTCGAGGTCCTAGTCCCACTTCAACATATTTCTTTTCCTTTTTAAGCAATAGTTTTCGGTCCAGAGACAATCGGAAAGTTTCTATCCCTGTGCAGCCGGATTTCTTCACTAAAAGAGAGTTGGATGCTTATGTGCAGATTGCTTGGGTAAGTGGTTTTAAAAAGATCATACTCCAACGTTTCATTCAAGATTAATTCCCGGCTGACGTTAATCAAATGAATGGACATTTATTGAAAGCTAAGATATTTTCCTAGTTTACAATTTTTTTTTTTATCAGAACATGCCTCATATCCATTTCTAATCTAAACTGAGGAAATGATATTGGCATTGGAGGCTAATTCAGCTTATGGAGACATTAGTAATATCCATTCCAAATGTAAAGCTTAAAACTTTTACACAATCTCACCTTCTATCTGAGAATCAACAAGTTTTCACAATTTTTTTATTTCAAATCTATAAGAAAATACATGAAATTAACTGTATTATTAACTATAGTACTGAACGTGACTGGTTATGTTATTGCAGTCGAAGAAATTATGGGTGAAGGTGTCAGACGAGCATGATGATGTTTTGGTGGAAGAGGATGACGAGAACGGGACGGACTCCGTTAACATAGTTGAAGGTAAAACCTCATTGGGAGACAGTGTGATTGTACCTGAGGTGGGTACGTAGTTTAACGATTTGAAGGACATGTTTGACCTGTACAAAACATATGCGTACGTTGTTGGTTTTCTCTTTAAGAAAAGAAACTCGAAGGGGGGAGACGAAGGAGAATTACGATATGTTACACTGACATGCAGCCGTGAAGGTCGAAGAGTTGATAATACTAGCGAATCTTTGAAGCCACAACCAACTATTCAGATGGCTGTAAAGCTAGAATCTCTGCATCTGCACATATATATGGAGTTTGGAAAATTAACACGGTCCACATTGACCACAATCATGAAACTAGTCCACCGAAGTCGAGGTTATTTCGATGCAACAGAGAGTTAAGTGCACATGTGAAACGCAAGCTACAAGTAAATGATTTGACAGGAATTCCATTGCATAAAAGTTACAATTNTGAAGGTAAAACCTCATTGGGAGACGGTGTGATTGTACCTGAGGTGGGTACGTAGTTTAACGATTTGAAGGACATGTTTGACCTGTACAAAAAATATGCGTACGTTGTTGGTTTTCTCTTTAAGAAAAGAAACTCGAAGGGGGGAGACGAAGGAAAATTACGATATGTTACACTGACATGCAGCCGTGAAGGTCGAAGAGTTGGTAATACTAGCGAATCTTTGAAGCCACAACCAACTATTCAGATGGCTGTAAAGCTAGAATCTTTGCATCTGCACATATATATGGAGTTTGGAAAATTAACACGGTCCACCTTGACCACAATCATGAAACTAGTCCACCGAAGTCGAGGTTATTTCGATGCAACAGAGAGTTAAGTGCACATGTGAAACGCAAGCTACAAGTAAATGATTTGACAGGAATTCCATTGCATAAAAGTTACAATT